GCCCTCGTTACCCGCCTTCCTCGTATTCGATCGTGCCCCCTTGGGGGTCTAATTTTCCAAGCTGCGACGCGTATTGCGTGCAGCCCCGAAGGCAGGGGAGGGGAGGACGGATGGATGGAAGCGACAACGGGGGAGGGGGGAGGAAACACGAAAGAGAGGGTAGCAGGAGGGTGGCCAGGAATTGAAACCATGTGGCAACGAAACGGCAGATCGGGCGGGCAGACCCTGACGGGCGGGTCGGGAAGGCGGGCCCAGGTGGCCAGGTCGAGCAGGCGGGTTGCTGAAGCGTGCGTTCTGCATGAAGCGCGAGGAAATTTCAAGCGACAGCGCGATTCCAGAGCAACTCGTGAGGAACAACCAGATCGAAAGCAGGATTCCTGAGTGTCGAGGGCGCGGCGTCTCAATGCATCTCGAGGAAGTTCCACGCGAGAGCGCGGTCCTGTATGAACTGTGAGGGCACCCCGTTCGAAAACTAGATTTGGGAATACATTGTGAGGAAGTGACCGGCGTGAGCCGTTGTTGTTGTAGTTCGGGGCACAACGTTGCAGCTTTGTGATCCTTCGTTTCCCATGCAATCAACAAGGTGCGAGCCCCGGGAGGAGCACTTTTAATTGAACAAGTACAATGGTTATCAGGGAGGGGGGTGTAGCAGTAATTAGTTTTAGCAATGAAGGCCCAACAGCCAACAGCAACAATAGCAACAACATGAACAACAGAAACAACAATCCGCGCAGAAGAAACTCACTCCACGGGCTCGGGCAGTTCCCGCGGGAACTGGCGGCGCTCATCCTCGGCAGGGGCCGCGCGCTCTCTCGGGTCGGATGGGGCCCAGCGGCCGCTGGGCTCGCAGGCGGGGCTGCAAGTATCCCGCCTGCGATGGCCCTGGGGAACCAGAAGTCAAGCAGCTGCGAAGCCTCCTGGCTCGCCTATAGGCCTACCGAAGAATATTATAAGAACCTTTCGTGGTTTCCACGAAATGTTCTTAGCCACGAAATGTTCTTAGAACATTTCTGGTTGGGACTGTCTTGTTTCAACATATCGGGTTTATGTTCTAAGAACATTGTTTTTGTTATGAAAACATGTTTGGGTTCTAAGACTTTTTCGTGGTATGCCTATAGGAATGCTGGGACGGTCGGTCCCTGCTCAAAAAAGGGGGTTCCGTTTTTCAGCAGCTGCCGCCCAGCGCGGAGGCGGGAGATCTCGGGCGGAGCGAGGATGAATCCGTTCAAGGGCGGTCCGGGACGCTCTCGGAACGTTCCAGAAGGTTCCGGGAAGGCCGCGGCGCACGAGATATCCTCCAGAGCCGCCAGATGTCGGAGATTCTCGATTGATCCTGATCCGAATGTATTCTCGTCTTGGCTTTGCCTTCGTAGCAAGCATCTGACCCACAGTTGTCTCTGAACGGTTCCACAGTGATCCCGATGCGGCTTTGTGCTGGCGTGCTGGCTCCGCGGTCTGGGTGTCCGAAGCCCTCGATTTCCCCCCCTCGGGTGCTCAGGTGTTCGCGTGGGTCGTCACAGTGACATTTTCCTCTTTTTTGAGGTGGGGCCAGTGCGGGGGCGTCTTGTAGAGGGGACCTCTCACCTGCCGCGCCGGCAGCGCCCTGGCTTCTGGCCCAACGCAAGCACATTGATGTGGACTTTTCGATGTTTTTGTTGACCTGATTGAGCTGGCCCCCCCAGGGCCTCCGAGACGGTCAAAGAGGTCCCCAACATAACCCCCAAGAGAAGGATTCCCTTCGGGATCATCCGTTACAATTGGAACGATACAGAGAAGATTAGCATGGCCCCTGCGCAAGGATGACACGCGCAAATCGAGAAGTGTATACATTTTTTTATTAAACAAAAAACCCAAGAGAACCCCAGGACGGCCCCATGGGACCATCTTAGGGCATGCTGAGAGTTTTGTATTTCGAGCTTCGCCCCGGAGGCCGTGGACAGTGATGTGGCACGCCCTGGACGCTCCCAGGGGCGCCAGAGGGAGATCTGATCAAGACAGGAGTCCCAGGGACCTGAGGACTTGGCATCCCTCGGACGTGTGCATTTTTCTTCGGCGAGGACCATCGAGGAGCATCCTTGATCATTTGGCGAAAAAGCCACACACGAAACCGAAAAAAGCACAGGGAATGGACGTCCGAGCGATGGCGAGAGGACGCTCCACTTCGTAGCTCGTTGCACGGTGGCTGATTTTCCGCTTCAGACCCTGCGCCATGCACATCAGTGAGCCTGGGTCAGCGATGATTGTTGCGCCCTCTCGTCTCCGTGTCCCTTCCCCCGCTCCAGATGGATGGCGATGACCAGCTACACAACCCATAATCGCAATATTCCCATTACAGTCAACGCGCATAGTAAGGACCAACGACTTTTTCAAGGGTACCCTTGGGTCCTTGCCTGCCTCAGCCTCTGCGGCCCGTCCCTAGCAATTTCGCCGCCCAGAATACTTCAACTTTGGCCTCCAAGGGTCTTGCGTCCTTACCACCCGTCCTTACTATACGTTTTCACTGTGTAATCGCAATATTCCCATTACTCCATCTGCCTACGGCAATTCCCGCCACCGTGCCTGGGGTTGTGTGCTGAAAGCCTAGTTGATGTTCGTTGGGATCTCGTGGGAGGCCCCTCGGGGGCCTCTTGGAGGCAGTTATGCTGCCTCTTGGGGGCCGTTTTGGAGCCTCTTGGTGGCCTCTGGGGGCCACTTGGGGTCTCTTGGGGGCCTGTTGGGGGCTTCTTTGGGCCTCTTGGGCGTCTCTTGGGGCCTCCTGGTGGCTCCTTGGGGCGGAAGGCTGGGATATTCGGTTTCTGTTCCCTCTCTGGGCCCCCTTTCTGGGGCCCTTTTGGAGGCCTCTTGGGCCGTCTAAGGCGCCACTTGTGAAGTCGTGGCCGTCTTGGGGGCCTCTTGGAGGCCTCTGGGGCCGTTTTGGGGGGGGGTCTCGGGGCCTTTGGGGCCGCCTTGCAGCGTCGGAAAGCAGAATAGGCGAGAACGCCAAGATCCTTCAAAAACGCAATGGTATTCATGATTGTACAGTCAGCCATGACAGTCAGGATGGGGCAACTTTCCAAGGTTACCCTCGCATCCTTGCCCTTTCGACATTCGGCATGCTTCGGCATTTTGCTGCGCTCCGCACGGAAAACGTCAACATGGCGTTCCACGGCCCTTGCATCCTTACCGCGCATCCTTACTATCATGGTCGATTGCAGTGGCCTCCGGCCAATTCCCCGCCGATCCGGGGGGGGGGCGGGGGGGCTGGACGTTTCTGCGGCACAGGAGTGTGCAGGCGGCAGCGGGCTCCTCCTTTCTCGCTTTTTTATGCTTGAATTTAGTAATGAAGCATTGGCAACACGTATGAATGTATATGTATATGTATATGTATATGTATATGTATATGTATACGTATATGTATATGTATATGTATATGCACATGTTTAACTATGTCCGTATATGTATACATATCATGAATTTGTATATAGGTATGTATGTACGTATGCATGCATGCATGCATGCATGCATGCATGCATGCATGTATGTATGCATGCATGCATGTATGTATGTATGTATTTATGTATGCATGTATGTATGTATGTATGTATGTATGTATGCATGCATGCATGCATGTATGTATGTATGTATGTATGTATGTCTATACATATACACAAACCTTATATTCCATAGGAAGGGGAGAGCTGAGCGTGCTCCGCGGCCATTCTCGTCGGCCCGTTCTGCCACCGGGCGTGGGGTGTGTGTGGTCATGAGGCCTCTGAGATGTTCGTGGGCATGTCGTGGCAGGGCTCTCTTTTCCTCCTCCTCCACCTCTCCTCCTAACTTTTTACATGTCTCGCATTGCATGAATCCAGACACCTCAGATCCTAGAGGCCATGGCCTCACCAACCTGGTCTGCTCTAGGCCCGGACGCTGTCCGCAACGGTGGTCGCATCGCATCGCATCTCTGGGGTTTTTTGGGAGGCAGTTTTGAAGCCCATCGGGCTCCGTCTTGGGGCCTCCTGGGGCGCCTTGGGGGCCTCATAATGGGGTCTCTCTTGGGGTCTCTGGTGGGCATCTTGTCTTGGAGCCTCGAGGAGGTATCTTGGGGCGGAATCCGGGAATTATCGGTTCGGGCTTCCCCTCTGGGGCTTCTCTTGGCGCTGTCTTTGGGCTCTTTTGGGCCGTCTTGGGCCTGTATTGGGCGATTTCGGCAGTCTCTTCTGCGTCTCTGGGCTATGTTCGGGGGTTCCTCTGGGACCGTCTTGGACACTTTCGGGTACCTCGTGGAGGCAGTTCTGTGACCTCTTGAGGGCCGTTTCGGGGCCTCTTAGGGGCCTCTTGCGGCCTCTCGGGGGGCCTCTTGGGGGCTGCTCGGGGCCTCGTGGCAGCCTCTTGGGGCCTCCTGGGGGCTTGGATTTTCGGTTCGTGTTCGCTCTCTGGGGCTCCTTTTGGGGTCGTCTTGGGCGCCTCCTGGGCCGTCGTGGGGCGCTCTTCGGCCGTCTCGGGGCCCTCTTGAGGCCTCTGGGGCAGTTTCGGGGTGGTCCAGGGGCCTCTGGGGCCGTCTTGGTGCGTCGGGAAGCCGAACAGGCGAGAACGCCAACATCGGTGAAACACCACGCAGGGAGCATCAGGCCTTGGGCCCTCCTGGGCCCTCCCTGGGGAGGCTTCGTGAAGGCCGCCTCGGGCCCAGGACGGCCCTGCGCGGCGCCAGGGGCCCCCGGGGCGGCCCGATAGGACCACCAGGACCCTCTCCTGACTCAACGTCCTTCTCCAATTGCCTTTTACTGTCCCCCGTCGTCGTCGTCGTCGTCGTCGTCGTCGTCGTCGTCGTCGTCGTCGTCGTCGTTCTCCGCATGCCTCCTCGAGCTCACCCTCGTTCGCTTCGTCCTCGCCCTGGTGCCGAAGAAGCCCACTGAAGCGGCGCGTCCCGTTCTTGTCCGATCCGGTGGTCGAGGTGGCGCCGGCCAGAAACAGCCGCTCGCAGTGTCATCTTCTTCGTGGCGGGCGCCTTGACAGGGAATGTCATGGTCCAGGTCAAGGGTATCGACTACGCTCACCTATGCGTGCTCTACACAGGTGCGCGTTGTTTGCCGCGCGTGCGGCCCCTGCTCGGATGTGCTTAACCGCTGCAGGCGGAGGCGGCGAGGTCACATGGTGGATGGAGCAGGGGCATGAGCAGGGACGAGGAACGCAGGAGGAGGAGGAGGAGGCGGAGGAGGAGGAGAGGGCGAAGGAGACGGCGCGAGGGCAAAGTGAGGTTTTGGGGTGGGCAGGAGGAGGAGGTCCCGCCTTGCCTCAGGGATCTCGGTCGGAGGAGTGCTGTGCTCGGCCTCTCCTGCCACACCGGGCTCGGTGATCCTCCGGACGTGTTTTGGGCCCCTGCGTGCCCACCCCGTCCAGCTCTGCCGACAGCACACGGAGTGTGCCGGTCGTCCGTCGTTTCACCGCCTGCATCGTAGTGAAGGTCATTTGGTCTTTGGTGGGCAAGCACACGCTGTCGTTGACGCACGTTCTCAGGATCATTGATGAGGCGGGAGGTCGTCGCGGGGGCCCTCTTGTGGCCTCGTGGAGCGTCTTTGGGGCCCTCTCAGGAGCCTCTCGGGCTGTCTTGGGGCGATCTCATGGGCCTTTTGGGCTGTCGTGGGCGGAACGCCCAAATCAATCGACAACTGTAAGAACATCGCGGAACTCTTGGCTTCTGTGGACATTTTGAGGCTGTTCTGGACCTTCTGGGGGCCGTCCTGAATCCATAGAGTCGGCCCGCATAGTAAGGATACCCTGGCATCCTTGCCTCCTGGGTCCGTCCTTGGACACTTTCGTTGGCCGCGCCCCGCTCGAAACGCTTCGAAATGGGCGTCCAAGGCCCTTGCATCCTCATTGCGCATCCTTACTATCCTGGTGGACTGTAAGGGTTCTTGCGGAACTGAGGGCGCTCAACTCAGTGCCCACGGCACGGCGACGGATGACGGAAAGCTTCTCCGGCGTGGACCATTTTTACATAGCAGGTTTAGTTTTCTTTAACGAGGGGCTGCCGATTGCATCCCAGAGCACGGTGGCGGATGACGGGAAGCGCTTCTGGCGTACAGAGGTAGCCGCGGCGGTGGTAGTGGGAACACCGCGCGTGCGTCCACCACGACATTTAACTGTGACTAGCTGGGCTCAGGACCCAACGCAAAGCATCAGAGTGAAGTGGTGCAGCGCTAGCCAAAAAAACGTTTCTGGCGTGGACTGTTTATATATGGCAGGTCTAATGGCGGGAAGCGTCTTCGAGAAGTGAGAAGCAAGTTGTACGTTCTGGCTGAACATGTATCTGAATTTGCATGCATACGGTTTGGGGATTGCATCTTATGAGATCGTGGCGGGTGACGGGAAGCGCGTTTAGATCTGATGACTCGCGCGGCAGATGTTTGTCACGAGTCTGGAGGGGACATAATTTGTCAAGTGGGTGAGTCCAGAGGGGGAGTGGTGGCGGGAGTGCCCCTCCGTGTTCGCGCGGCGGATTTGGAAAACTATCGTTCCGTTTGGGACATCCTCACGACATCGAGATGTTTGAGGCCATCGTTTAAGACGTCAAATGTTCAGAATCAGCGTTTCGCCTGAGAGATCTTCGGACAAGGGGGGCGCTGAGGTCGCTCGCGTAATTTCTCGAATCTTCGAACGTTGGACTTTCGCTTGAGACATCCTCAAACAAATGAGATGTTGAAACAGCTGCTTCCAGACCCTGTTTCGCTCGAGACATCCTCATAACGATGCTGAAATCGCTGGCAAAACCTTCGAATCTTCGACCATGGCGCTCTCGCCTGAGACATCCTCAACAAAACCCTTAGATCGGCCAGTCGCATTAGATCGGACAGGATCAGGAAAAATGGATCGTGTGGCGGCAGGCAAGGGGGGGCCGCGCGGCGTCGTGTCGTGTCGTGTCTTCCTCCCCCCTGCTCCGCTGTTGTTGCCTGTTGCTGACGGGTCTGTGCACCTGGAAATTACATGAAGTTCGGACGCCTTCAGAGGCGAACCGAGGCCGATTCTACATGTGAGGTGTCTGGCCCAGAGTCCACTTTGCCCCCATAGCCAGGTTGCCACCTGGAGCAGCGCGAGCGCTGCCAGATGAAAATGGCAGGCGCAGGTGAACTGGACGAACACGTCGGTGCCATCATCTCCAACGAATCCTTCGGTTCGGAGTCGTCGAAACCCAACGCTGCGACATCGTCGCCGATAGGCGCACGGACCAGGCCTACCTATAGACCGCTCCTCGGGCAATGGTTAACGCATTCGGCCCCGCCCTCGGGCAGACCTGGCGTTGCCGCATCGGCAGGACCAGGCACTCGATCTCGACTGCCGTCTTGCTCGAGGTAATACGCCAACGCATGGCCGACTTGCAGCAACAGGCACTCACCGAGCAGGGCCGAATGATTGAGCAACAGCAGGAGGCGCTCCACAATACAATGCGAGCAACCTGGAAAAAGGTATCCATATCGTTACACTTCCATCGTTTTCGCAAGTTTAGCCCTCCTGGGAGGCCCTCGTCGCCACCGCTGGATTCGCCTCGAACTGGTTGACGCTTCGCGTATCCCCAACAGCCCATGCAGAAACGATGTCTCCAGGAGTTTAGGTGATCAGGGAAGTGGGGGAACATGCAGAAGAACAAAGGGCGGGGGAAACCGTCCGATATCCCAAGAGAGGGAGGATGGTGGAGGAGAGGGACGAGGAGGAGAAGGAGGAGGAGGAGGAGGGCGAAGACGAGGAAGGGGGAAGAGGCAGAGGACGAGGAGGAGGAGGAGGAGGTGGAGGAGGAGGGGGGCATCTTGGCGAGCCCAGCGCCTTCTTTGAGCGTCTTCGGTGCCTCGCGTATTCTCTTGAGCCCTCTTGGGGGTCTCTTGGGAGCCTCTTGGAGGCCTCTTGGGGCCGTCTGGGCGCCGCTTGGCCCCGTGGGGCGATCTTGGGAGCCTCAGCGGCGCTCTTGGGACCACCTTGGAGGACATCGATCAAACAAGAGAGGCTCTTCAAGTAGCCTCGCCCTCGGGAACCCCAACAGCCGCCTCCCGGGGCGCTCTTGGGGCGCTCTTGGAGCTCTCGTGGGCGCGCTCTGGGCGCTCTTGGGGCTCTCTTGAGCCTCCTCCCTTGGAGCCCTTTTGGGCCGTCTTGGAGCCATCTTGAGGCCTGGGTTGGCCATTGGAAGCCAACACATTTTGATGTTCCTCAGGTTTTTTCAAGGATGTTGACCTTTTCGGGGCCTGCTTGGGGAGCTTTTGCCACTTGGAACCGTCTTGGAGCGGTCTTGGGGCCTCTTGGAGCATCTTGGGAGCCATCTTGAGGCATGTTGGAATATCTTGAGCCATCTTGGATCGCATCTTCGGCTCTCCGAGGCGCTGTTGGAGCCATCTTGTGCCATCTTGGACGCTCCAACTACTCGGGAGACCCCCCCTCCAGGTCCAGGGGAGGGGGTCGGGTAAGCTAGGTGCGCTCGCGTCATATCTGACGTCCTACTCCTCCCTCCCATCTCTTACCATGGCGTAGATATCCTCTCTATTCGCACCGTCGGATGTCGAGCAGGGCAATGATCGCGAGAGGGTACGCGATGCATGGTAGAGCACGGCATGCCATGGCGTAGAAGAGCACGGCAGAGCGTAGCATGCCATAGCATGGCGTGGTATTGCGCAGTCAAGCATTGCATCACAAAGCATTGCCACGCAAATTATGACATCGCACAGCGGCGCAGAACACAACACCGCACAGCATGTCATTGCACGGCGCCAGGTTCCTTGAAAGGTAAGTGGATCGTCTTCGATAGGTCTGGGCCAGTCTGGAGTCGTGGCTCCATGTCTAGCTCCTTGGTCTCCCCGAAAAGCTCCACACAAGGCAGGGCTGATGGAGAGTACCCGCTGGCTCCGCTTTCAACATCGCCTTCTCAAAGTAGAAACGGGGCTCCCGCTTGATACTTCCTGAAACGGCGGGGCTTCTGCGTCCCAAAACAACGAATCGACACCGAATGTGTAATCACTTCCGATGTTTTTTTCGGGGGGGGGGGCATTTCTTAGATTTTTGGGCCTCTTTGGAAGGCCAGCGCTGGAGCGGGAGCACGATTCGGAACGCGTGGAAGCGCGGAAATGATGCTGGCGTTGAAGCGCGAGCACGATTCGGAACGAGCGGAAGCCCGAAAATGAGGCCAGCGCTTCATCGGGAGCAACATTTTGAAAGCAACCCAAGCGAATAGCCAATTCCCGGGAATCCTGTGTGTAAAAAAACCGGACGCGGAGGGGGGCCAGACATTTTCCGGACGTCATCAGGGGAGAGAGGAGAGTAGTGTTCATATTGTGTACGTGTGGAGGGGTAAACAATTCCCCGAAGGGTTGTGGCGCCGAAGTGTGCTTACCATGGGGCCTTTAAATAGTGAAGTCATGTGTTGATACCAGAGTTGTGGTGTTGTGTTGATGAGTTGTAAGAAATGTTGTAGGATATGTTGAAAAGATGTTGCGTTCCCACACATTCGCGTTTCAGAAAGTTGAAGGAAACGTTGTTGTCCTGAAACGAGTTGCGGGAACTGTTGGCCATGACAAAACGAGTTGGGAAAACTGTTGATATCAACAACCGATGAGCGCATTGATCTTGAATTGCATTGTTTGGATCGATCTTTAACAGAAGCAAAGGAAAAAGAGGAGGAGAACAACCCAAAACTACAGCCCCCAATCACAACTTCAACTCCCCAGCACATCCCCTCAGCACGACCCGCCAGCACGACCCCGCAGCACGACCCCCAGCTCAAGCCCCCAGCACAACCCCTCAGCACGATCCCCAGCACAATCCCCCACCACCAGCCATATACCGTAACCGCCCACCACTTGTCCTACAATCTCTCATTGTACGTTCTCTCTCTCTCTCTCTCTCTCTCTCTTACTCCCTCCCTCCCTCTCCCCTCAGCTGGCTCAAGCGGCCCATGGCGTTGCAGGAACGTTTTCTCAGGGGGGCGTGCGGCGTGGCGCGTCATGGGGTGGGGCCCGAGCCACACTCACGACGAGCTTAGCAGCTCAGATGAGCCCGTCAGCCCCCCTCGGGTGGCTGCTGACGGAGCAGCCAGCAGT